TATAATTGCATGAAAAAATGTAAAAGAAATGGAAGAAATATTTTAAAATGTAAGTTATATAGTATAAGAAATGTTAAATAGGTAATGATATAAGTAATAAAAATGGTGATACGGTACATGTAATGAAAAGTAAAATGGAAAAAACTAATAAGTTTAAAAGAGGTAATAGAGAAAATGTAAAAGTATAAAACGTATATTTGTTAAATGTTTAAAGAAAGTTTGTATATTGAAAAAAATTATTCTCTCATACGTTGTACATGAGGGTAAATCACTGTAGAGTTTACCCCCATGATACAAACTTTGCCAAGGGGGGAGGTATGTGACGGACAGGTCAGGAGCCACTCCTGTCCATCAAAATGGAACCCTGATTCAGGAGCCAATGGCTGTACAGAAAAGGCGGGACTAGGGATATATAAGAGAATGGATGACAGTTAAAGAGCAGTTAGAGTCTGAGTTGGAGTCAGTTAGGGAAGAGTTAGGGATGAGTTAGGGACTGGTGTTAGAGAAAAACAGTTTAGGCAGTTAGGACCAGCCTGGTGTTAGAGCAGAATAAAGAGATAGAGAACAAGATATGAAATGAATAAATACTTGGATTAACATGATTCTACCCAAGCAAATATAAATGTTACTAAAGCACAGTTGATTGAATACATGAATTAAGACCATCCATGATTTACTTTACATGATTTACTTGTGAACACTTTAAGAAACATTATTTAATTGAATAACACTGATTAAAGAGTCCTATTTGATATAGTGGGGAAAAACTCTTCTGGTGGCAGCGGAAAGGGTTGAAAAGTAAATGTCATACCCAAAAGTGAACCTGGGTTGTGTGGAAGAACAAACAGGGGAACTGGGGGGGCTTTGGGGAGAATGTTTTAATGTCATTGTGGCCCCATTATCTCTAATAGCTCTGGACCATAACTATAAAGAAGTCCAGGAACTGCCAGTATCACCTGCCCTACAGCCAAGCCTACCAGACCCAAGGGAGACTGAAGATGACATGATCACAGGAACTCTGTAATTAAACATTTGCAGCCTAACCACAAAGCAGGGGAAGAGTTCTTCCTGAAGGACAGGATGAAATGCATTTGGGCACCTACAGCCAAGGGCAATGCTTGCCCACCAGAATCCCAGATTTATTTATCTTTACAGACAGACACACATCCAGCTTGTCAGCAAAGGATTTAGAGAGATCTCTGAAATTTCCTCCTCTTGGGAATCCTACCATGAGACTTGGATGGTCTGTGTTGTTCAAGAGAAGAGCCTGACTGAGCAAGAAGCTTAGATGAATGCTGCTGCTACTTATGATCTATGGGTGCTACTATTCCAGATTTTATTAAAATGTGCATACCTTTCAAATACAGTGATAATGGAAACCCAGTAATATGTAAGTTTACATTAAAAATATTTTAGGGCACGATTACATTGCCAAATAAGCAAAGTTGTATTGGTGTATTATTGTGTCGATTAATGTCATGTGCTCTTTGTGTCATTGTCCCCATCCTCATTGGACAGCCACATTTGATCCCAGTTGAATCAGGGATTACGATGCTCTCTAAATAGCCTTAAATATACTGTACCTGGAGTTCACACCGTGGGTCTGTCCTGACTCTGCCTGCATTTTGTACTTGTTCATAAGTTCATAAGTACTTGTCAAGAGTTAATTTTTTTTCTCTTCTTTATTCTACGTGGCATAGTGTTACATCAATGTTGCAGTCAGAAAGACTCCAAGCGCCTATGGGATGCAGCACTAAAGTTTGTTTATTAAAAAGGGAAACAGTTCAAACAGTAGGCATGATTTCCTGATGGGACAGCATCCCACACCCATTTGAAACACATCACCAAAACATCAACACAGGGAAAACCCCACACAGAATACAATTACACAGCCAAACCACGCTAGAAGTCAAGGGGGATTTAGTGTGTCAACTCCTCCATAAGTTCCATTGATTCAAATAGGACTGTGTTAATGTAACTCATAATTAGAGCAACCCCATTTGCATCAATAGAATTTATGGAGGATTCACCAAACCATCAATGATTCAATGGGCCTATCCAAGTGTGATCTACTATACTACACAACAGAAATTTAACTATTATTTGTAGCAATAGAGAATTCAAGTATGGTAAGAGGTTTATGTTATCTGATGCGAAAAGGGGCTGATAATGGGAAAAGTAACATGACCAGGTTCCTCTGGAACCTTCAGCTTTGACCAGTCCTACTCATTTCTCCTTTCCTTGCCCGAGATATTCCCTGCAGACTTTATTGCACCTCTCTACAGAGTGTTTGCCTAAGATGAAGGAAATAATTCTAGGATGAGAGCTTTTTTCTGACAAGATTTATGAACTTGTCAATGTTATGACAAGGATAGCAATAGCAGAAAATATCCAAAGCATGTTGAAGTATTACATCAATTCATCTCTCGTTTGCTTTTTAAAGAGTCCCTTACTTCACATAGTTTTATTTGTTGATGCTGCTGCTTGTGTTCTCCGTGAGAATTGTCTAATCCCAAGATTTGAGAATATTCTTCCCACTGCTTGTCTGTGTATACAGGTGCTGAAGAAAAACTGACTTCTGTGTCATAGAGGTGCACGCCACATAGCAAATTATGAGAACATCCTATTATACAGCTTCCCACACTCAAACTAAAGAATTCTTGTGGACACAGCTGTACTCAATGCTTTTGATATATTTTGTTTGCATTTCCATGTCACTGTTCTCCCAATTAAGAGAGCCCAAAGTGACTCACAAATTACTAAAAATCAGTATTTTAGTATTTTATGAAGGATACAAAGAGAAACTTTTGATTTTTTTCTTCTGTTGTGTTGCTACGTTATTTTAAATTCATCTATTTTGTTTGAAAATATCAATGACTGAAAGTTTAACAAATAAATTGTTAATGTTACTGTTGCATCCCGCCAGTGTCCCTTGTTTGTTCTCCCCAAACCCTGGTCCACCCGCTGGATGCGTTTGCTCTTTTTACTCTGCCATCAGTAGATCTAGTCCACACTACACCAAATATAGGTATCCCAGACATGTGCTGCCAATACAACAGGTTTATTGATCTTTTAGTTGGTAGGTAAATCACAGTTGTTAAGGGTCATTCATTAAATTGGATTTGATTATACGTTTGCTGGTATGTGCTTTTATTCACAATAACCACGCTGACAATGTTCTTTGACCATCTACCTATTCTCTATTCCTTTTAACTCTTTCCTGTTCTCTATGACACTCCAACTTTCCACTCTCAGTATTAACTCTCTCAATTCAATGTACCTCTCTTTGATCTACTGTGCATTGAAATCAATTCTAGGAATGCTTCACAAATTTCCTTCTGCAGATTCTGATAAAAATGTGCAGAACAACACTGAAATAGTAAATCATGGCAATCCAGTGAATCTGCACCTTAATCTACATTTTCCCCTTCCACTGCTGTATGTGTGTGCATGCCATCAAGTCAAATTTGACTTATGGTGACCCTCTCCAGGATCTTGTAGGCAGAAAATACACTGAAGTAGTTTACCATTCCCTTTTACTGGGAGCGCCTTGGACTATGCAGCTTGCCCAAGACACACAGGCCGGTTCTTCTCCAAGGAGGCACAGGGGGGAAATCTGCCAACCTCTCGCTCCACAGCCAGAAACCTAGACCACTGAGCTCACCCAGCCAGCTACTGGACCCTCATATTTTGACTGAACATTAGGAACAAAGTGCTACAAATGGTGAGAATGTTCAGTATTGGAACAAACTGCCTCAGAAGGTGGAAGACATTCCTTCATGAGGAGGTTGTTCAAACGAAGATTGGACAGATGGCCATGTGTCTGAGATACATTCTCTGCAACAGAAGGCAATTTGACTAGATGACTCTTAGTGACTAGAAGTCTATGATTCCAAGACAGTCTTTTTCACTCTTAGTGCAGTCATTGGCCCAGTGAAAGAGTGATGATGGTGGAAAGCAGCAAAGCACAAGTACATTTCAATTCCTTTATTTTTTTTTTCTATATACAGTTTAGTAAACGAAATAGTCAATATAATTAAATAAAGTTCAGCATGTCAGGATCATAAAAATACACCCAGAACAAAGATATGATAGAAATATACACACTATGATACATTTAAATTAGGTATTCGAACATGGCTTACAGTTTGTTTGTGGTTTTTAAGGAATGGGGGAGTAATTACACTGCTGCTTTTGTAGCATCTTACAACACAAACAGCACCTCTGTCCTCAAAATTAGACTCATGGTATAAAATGCAATGCCACTTTGGTTTTGTGCAGAAGCAACAGCTACTATTTGGGAGCTGCACTATACAGACATGACAACATAAAAGGCAAAAAAAAAAACACCAAACAACAAAACAAATCCCCAAAGCTTCCTCTCAAATAACCTTTTCCCCACCCCAACAAATAAAAAGTTAATGAAGCATGACTATCCCATATATTGTAGACTTAATTATTTACCCTATATACATACAAACATGGATCTACACATCAACATTACAAGAAACCATATTGCACTGACCAAAACTTGAATACTGCACAAAGTATGTGCTTCTAGAATACTGTGTTGGCACCCAATTTCTGCTTCTTGAGGTGAGAAACTTCATCTCACCCCATCAGGTTTTTGGTGCCTGGCATAGATGTTTGAGATGTGAAATAGCCTGCTGAATGGTATTTATTGCTTTCTTAAAGTAATTCTAGAGAATGTGAAATGAAGAGGACAATTTCAAATACCGTACGAACCAAGAGATCTACCTTGCATGTCTAGAAGCAATTTATGTTGCCATATATCCACCTTTTCAATCAGGAGGGGCTGCTGTTCTCTCCTACCCTCGGGGCACCCTACAATTTATACTTCTTGAGGACAACAAAGAAGCTCACAGAAGTGCAACCCTGGTTAAGTTACCTTTAACATACACTTTAAACTAAGAGCTGCTTCTTACGGCAAGAGTCAAGCTAGGCATAAAGAGGCAGCCATATAAGATAACAGGTTTGGCTTTTTTTTTTTTTTTTTTTTTAAAAGGGCTTAACATGACATGGTGCACACAAAGCAAGGTTAGCAGACCTTTTCCCATTCCTGCCACCTGACTGCGTTGTACTCTGCCAGTTAATTGTCTCTGAATTCTGCTACCAGAGGCAAGTGAGATGAGATCAATGTTTGAAGCAACTGCATGACATAAGGTGGGGAGGGGCACAGATGCTGTGAACAAAATGAACACTGGCTGCATAAGCATTTTGCACACATAGCACAAAGTTCAACAAACAGGATTTGTTCTTCCAGGGCATAGATGAATGGTGTGGGGGGGCCCTGGGTGACTCTTTTCCATTGTTAACTTACTTATCATTTGAAAATGATTTATGATTTGTAGATATCTATATTTTTAAAAGCCAGTGCTATACATACATGTATTTTGTCCTCAGAACAGTTACTGTTTTAAGTAGCAGCAGCAGCAGCTCCAGAAAAGCTATTTCACATTGTACTGTACCTTATTTTTAAACTCATGAAACAAATTTCCTTCATCCCATTAAACCAGCTCAGGGAAAACCTTGATGTTTACAACACTGACTTGTATGGAAAATTAGGACTTTTTTAAGACAAAAAAACTGAACATTAATAGATTTAAACAAATTAAAGGAATAAAAAATTGGTCAAAGCTCAGCCACAAACACACACCTGTTGGCTGAAGGTAGGTTATCTGGTTACATTTATTTTTAAATCCTGCAACAAATTAAATTATGATGAGTGGAAAGCCAGTCAATAACTGGCTTCTTAACCAAATGTCTGAACTTCTCCATTTATAAGAGGCCAATGTGTATCTCCTGGCAGAACATACAGGCATTGCAAATTTAACTCCAAACTAAATTTCTAATGGATCAAAAGCTGTTATTAGCACATTCTCACAATATGCTTCATTTGTTTTAAAGTCAGGCTCTTAGATATCAGCAGAGAAACCCATTAACTTTACCTAGAATTTGTGTCAAATCTACAGAGGAAGACTCTGACACAAAGACAATGGAGTAGTGTTGGTCTTTTCTAAGTGTTTATAATAGAAAAACTGGTCTTCTGGTCCCAAGTTATGCAAAATGATTCGTAATGCAGGTTTATGATTTTCTGCTAAATGAAGAAATCCAATCATGAGGAAAAATGCATTAGAACTCAATGACATTACCCAGTATCTGCACTGAAAACAATATTGCAAACAATAATTAAGATAGGAGTACAATGTTAGATTTACCTCCAACTACAAATACACTTTCTTTTTTTACTGGCTTTTATTGTGTACAAACTAAGATAAATGTTTAAAGGTTTGTTTGGGGTTTTTTTTGATAGTATGAAAAGTGCTTATTCTCAGTTAGTGAAGATGCCCCAATCTCCACCAATCTGATATGCTCAACATGCCATCTTAGTTCAGTTTCTATTCAGAGAAGCTGTAACTACAAATAGATTTCATAACACTCAAAAAATTATTCTCTATGTAACTCAATCTGTTACCACAAACTAAGTGTATTCTGTATCTCAGTACCACATTCTTCACAATGATGATGAACTAAAAAGAAACTAGGATGGTCTGCATTGCAGGTCTGATTCTTAAGGCAGCTGCTAGTTATTCAATGAAAAAATACTAAGGCAAAGCATCCAAGTACCGCTTGTGGCTGGAGATGAGGAAAGGAATTTTCTTGAAGTTAAATATTTTACAATAGCACTGAGAAGTTTCTACCAAGATTGAAGCCATTTTGATTCATGACTCAGTAAGCAATAAAGGTGTTTCGTTTTGGAAAATTTTGCTTTCTGAGTCCACTGAGTCAAGGCAGGTTGGTTTCCTGTTGTTGTTGCTCAAATTCGGGACAGAGTACCTAGGAACCTATTTCCACTCAGTAAAATATTTGACTGCATACGGTTTTTATACCATTGGAAGCAGGGCTCTAAACAACAAACGTAAATGGCTAAAATCCCCCCCACCCCCAATACTGCTCATGAAAATCTGCTGAACCACATCAGTGCAACACAGATTAAACTATATACACAAATATTTACAGAACCAACCTGCAGCACAGAGCAGTGGCGTGATCAAGAAATGTACTTGGTTCCTCGTGATCAAGACGCCAATTCTACAGACCGCAGTGTCTTTACTGCAACAGCTCAACAGAGTGGTAGGTGTCCCCCTACATGACGGCTATGGATACCATGTGCAAGAGCCACAGGCCTCTTTTGTGCAAGATATCCTCACAGAAAGGTGCCAGTGCTCTTGTATGATTCATAGTAACTTGTGGAAGATGTCAGCTTGCTTAGGGCAAGGCTGGTCTACTTGATGGTCCCATTTGTGTTCTTGTGAATGTTCAGTCCAGTCCTGATTATGAAGAAATACTGTTCTTCAGCCTCTTCTCCTCCGGTCATTTAAACTTAAAGTGCAGACAGCATGCTCCAGACACACAGTAGCTGAAGATCTTTTAGTTGCTGCTGAAGGGACATGGGTTGCATATGGGGAGGACAGCACTACTTGGCAATCTTGTCTAATCCATTTCCACAGTTTATTAGCTGAGAGGTGGTTTAAGCTTAGCAATTCAGACCGAGCCCAGTCCAGTGATCTGGCACCATTAAAAAATACTTATCCATTGCTTCACAAAACCTGGTACGGTACAGTTCCGGAGACACAACAGTTGGCATTTTACCTAATAATTTGGAAGAAACCAACAAAAGCCATGTGTTAAAGGGAACAGTAAAAGATATATCTACATTTTACGATGATGCCAAGATCTTTTGATCCAAATTGTATTCTACAAAAAGCCTCAGAAACAAAAAAATTACATTTTGAAAACCACTACATCCACATAAGCAGAGCAAGAACATGAAGATTATTGCTTTGCGTGTAAACGGATAAGATAAGGTAGCAAAAGATATGGTCTGCAAGCCCACATCCTCTAAAAAAAATTAATACATTTCCAAAATAGTTTTGCTCAAAAAATGTCCTTCTGTGCCTCTCTAGAGGATATTGGAGGGAATTTTGCCTATTTTGCTCCCCCCACACCATGTTTGTCCACTCCATTTTTTAAAAAACAGAGCTTTTAAAAAAGCTTTGGACTCAGAGGATGTGAAAGAGAATTTTCAATTTAAAAACAAATTGAAAAGAAAAGAAATTCCAGAGTGGGTGGGAGGACAAAAGCGTGTATGAATTATTCCAAGGTCCAGGAGTGGTTGTGTGTGGTCCCTAGACTGCTAGACGTTCCCCATCCTTGAATTCCCACAAGTGTTGTGTGGTAAAGACAGAAATGGAGACCAAATGAAAAACTTGAATTGCCGACATGTTTACTTCGACCTGCACACGACTGAAATCTTGTTGCTACTGGATTTCAGCTAATGTTTATTAATAAAACATGTTCTTTAAATTTCATATCCAATTTCCAGCTGGACCTTAATGACAACATGTGGGGTAGGTATCTACACCATTTTACTAGCCACACACTTTGAAGCTCTAAGCTGCTGCTCACATAATTTTAAACCAAAAACAGCAAGATGATAACCCAAACCAAGTATTTAGGGCTATTTCCTACTGTAAAACTATTGCAGCAAACACTGTATTATTGTTAAAGCAACAGTATGCTTTGTAATTAAAACATACAGTTTGCTTTTTTCAAATGTAATATTGGTAAACTCTATGTCTAAAGTTAGATATCTGTACTGAAATTATGTTGGGAAAAATAGGATCATTAATGGAATCCATACATCTTATCCTCCATATTTTATCATACCACACCTAGCCTTCTAAAACTAGTAGCTAAGGGGATAGCACAAAATTTAGGCCAGGAACAAGGTTGTGGCTCCCTTTCTCATACTTGCTTGCTGACCAACACGCCTGCCCTGAGAACAATTACAGGAAGAAGTACAGGAATCTTTGTCCTTATTGGGGGGAAAAACAGCCTTAAATATAGTATCTGAAAGAATGAACATGTTGATGAAAGCAGCAAGCACTTAGTATTCCAAAATTGTATCTGCACCTGTACACACATAGTAGTATTATCAGTTGACAATGAGTGCATGGAATAAAAAGAAGTTAAAGGAGGCAAGCAATATAAATGGTAGGCTGTAAAGACTTCTTGAACTCACCTTGTCCTCCTAAGATGCCTGTTGACTTCACCACCATTTCAAGTTTTTTGTCCCAAGTAAATGTGCGAATGTAATCTATAGTAGAAAAAAGTAACACACTTTAGCTCAAAAAGACCAGTTTCCAAAGCTGTACAGAACACATGCCCCTAAACAAATAACATTACATCTTCACAGCTCCTTCTGTGTAGGTGACATCACATTTCCTCATTTCTGTAATGCTGTGCTTTCCCCTGGCTTTGTCACCTTGAGTCACCATGAGAAAGTGTGTGTTTTTTTTCCCTATAGCTTTCTGATAATAAGCCTGCATGGCTTTCAAAGCACAGAACTGCTCAGAAATATAACCAGTTTCAGTAACAGTCTCTCAACAGAACACAGAACTGATTATTTACTTTTGCCAATAACATCCTAACATGAGAGGGTTCTCAGAGAAGTTACATTCTCAGTGCATTGTTCCAGTTTACATTTAGGGCAATAAAACGTTTTATAAAGCTGGAAAATGTGTTTAGCAAAGTTATAAGTATGTATCTGCATAACTGTAAAAGATTAAGCCTTGCTTTTTGCAACACAGTCATCACACTGAAGCTATTTAACATAGTTATACACCAAGAATGGGCACAATTAATACCTTTTTATTTGGACAACAAGATGCACAAAACCACTAAAGGTAACTGAGCACTAAAACAGTCAACTAAAGCCTGGAGGCGTGCTTCTGATTTTTAAATAGAGAGACAAATGAGAATTATTTAGCTAAATTTTCAAGGGAAAAATTGCAGTTTTAAAAGCTTTGACTAGATGGAAATAAATATTATACATATTGTACTAAATTGTAAGTTTAGCACAGTTAACTACAAACTTTCAGGAGTCACTGAATGCACTGCTGAGTTAGAGTACTCCATAAATCAAACATTCCACTCTATTTATACTCTACCTTTCCTTCAATGAGCTTAAGGTAGTGTACATGGCTCTTATCCCACCCACAGCCCTTCCAGGAATATCCAGTTGAGAATACAACTGGCTCAAAGTCACCCAGTGAGTGTCATGACTCAATGAGGACTTGGATTCAGATCTCCCAATCCAACAGGCTAACTAGTATAGCATACTGGCTCTCAGTTCAACGGAACTGACTTACAACATTGACCACCAAGTAAGCAATCTCTGTCTCTGCGATGAAACACTTTTAGCACTAGCTTGCAGTGCTACAGAGACAGCTAAGTAATTGTTGGAGCTAATTCAAGGAGCACATAGTTGAGTGGTTCCCAATCTTGGGTTTCCAGATGTTCCTGCACTGCAATTCCCCAAAGACATTGCCAGCACAGCTAGTAGTGAGGGCTCCTGGAAGTTGCAGTCCAAGAATGTTTGGGGCCCAAGGTTGCGAACCACTGACATAGTCCAACACAAGTCACCTGTTGTGCTGCATAACTGCCACATAGCAATATCTGCATGGCAGTTTCAAGACAGGAAACAGCTCTCATCCAGAAAAATAGTTGATTATTATAGGACCAAAGTTACATACCAATAATGCCAACCACAAGTTCATCTGTGGTATCATCACGGCCCACCAAGAGAGAATAGTCAATTATGAGATGGCTGGAAAGGAAGTAAGAATCGCTGTGGATGGAAGCCTTCAGCACTGCCTTGGAGTGAGAACGGATGTACAAGGGATTGTCTCGCACCAGCTTCAAGAGGTTTTCATCCAGTAGCACCACATCACAGCTTTCTTTTCCTGTGTCTGTTTTCACATTTCTATTCCGCAAAGAGCCTTTCAGGTCAAAAACCTAGGAGCAAAATAGGCAGCAGGTTACTATTTGATAGAGACTCCTTTCCCCATGTCCCTGATCTGGTGTTGGTATCAATATTACAGTGATGTTTAAAACTAGAACCTCAACTTCTCATTTTCTCCTCAGATGAACCAGTGGGGTCAAAGGGGCTTGAAACAAACTGAACACTTATCAGCACCCCCTCGTACATCTACAATCTCTGCTCTTCACACATAAAATGGTCAAGAGCAGGGGCTGTAGCTGTGAAGGCTATCCAAAATGCATTTGGTTTTATTTAGTTATTCCAAGTTTAGTTACCTTTCCATCAAATAAACAGAGGATATTTTGTTACGTGTCATGAGCTGATACACTTTATTAACTCTTGATAGCACTGCATCTTACTATACACTACTCTGAGAACCTCCTCATGAGGCAAGAAGGTGGGTAAAAGAAGAGTTAAGAAATGAGAATAACAAAAACAACAAAGTGTTAAGACTTCTGAGCCAAAAATGCAAGCTGTAGCATAAATCTGAATAAATTCTGCCATGGTGGACGGGGGCGGGGTGAGGGAGGATATGCAAAAAGACGATTTCCTAAGCTTGCCCCAATCAAAGCAGTTCTATTACAAAGCAACTAGGTTTCTTGAATGTATCAGCCAAAATATGCAGTGAACTAACTCCACAGATATTCACTCCAACAGAAAGTGAACTGCAAAACAATTCTGCAAAATAACATTGGATTTACATATTTGGAATGCATAACACAAAAGGTTAGGAACTGTCATAAGGCCAAACCATGAACAGATGAATATGCAAGAAGGAGGCCTTTATTCAGAATAAAATATAAACAAGCCTATATCACTTGTTCAAATTTCCACTTTCAGAAGATTCATAAATCTCGAGATCAGCAACTCATCCACAGATGGAGGCACTGATTTCCCCCTCATCTCTTATTGTAATTACAAGTTGCAACTACTGCCATGAAACTGTGACCTCTTTCTGGACAAACGCAGGGCCTTCCTTATTCCTGGACAGAGCAAGATGATCACCTCAGGCAGCTGATGCCAGAAGGGAGGAACCAAAGATGGTAGAGGAAGGAGCTGTGCACTAAACAGCCTGCTGTGGACCTCCTTAGGTAGTTTGTTGCCTTATGTAAGGCAGAGGATGCTGATCCAAAGCCAGACTTGAAAAACAATCCAGTTGGTAGGCCAAAACAACTTTGCATAGGAAAAGGGAGCAGATGCCATCTTGTACTTCATCTCAGTCAACAAATGTCTCAGGCAAGCTCTGCACATGTGCATCTTGGAATTCAAAATATTCTGGTAACAGCAGATTGGGACAGAACTGGGTACAGCACCAAATGCACAGAAACTAGCACTAAGACCTTGATGGAATAGCTGGAGAAGACCAAGACAGGGGATGTCCTCAACATTTCCAAATATAACAAGCTGCTATTGGCAGGTTTATAGGCATGTTGCAATGACCAGAGAAAAAGCCACTCAAAAGGGAGGCAGCAGGTGAGCCTCTCGCTCACCTGAGCCATCTTTCTGCCATAGAAGAGGTTTTCCATGACCAGGAGATCAAGCTTCTTCTCCGTGTTGTTCTGAGAATTCTTGTAACCGATCCGATACACCCCAAGAATCTTTGCCAAAGCTGTTGGCTTCTGCAAGAGAGAAGGTGGTTGATTTGCTCAGTAACAAGATGCCAAGTTCCAATTCTCAAATGAAATCTCTAGTTCACATGAATACATTAAAGCAGTGGTCCCCAATCTTTTCTGAACCGCGGACCGGTTGGGTGGGCAGGGTCCGTGCGTGGGGCAGCAGGGCACCCCCCTACGCTTGTGGTTGGGTGGGGCGTGCTCGTGGATGGGAGGGGTGTGCTTGCAGGTGGGCAGGGCACCCATGTTTGCAGGTAGCGGGCCATGCGTGTGGGTGGGGTGCATGAGATCTGTCTCCACTGCCCAGTCCTGCCATGACCACAGACCAGCACCTGGCATTAAAGCAATCATGAGAAGGAGGGAGGGAATAATCTGCAGTGCTAATTTTGTCAAGAGTTTCTTTTTGTTGGCCAAATCTTTCCTCAAGATATATTCTTTGTTTATTACGACTGATCAGTCATGGACGCATGTGTGCCAGCCTATCCATTTCTAGCACCTATCTACATCTTTCCATTTAAAACCAGGATGAAAATATCAAGATTAAAGGCACCAGAAAGAACATGTTACATTATTTTACCTTTTGCTGAACTGCATTAGTAATGTACATGAAGTAATGTGGGGCAAAGTCTAGAAAAGACTGGACTTCCAGGCGAGGCATTTGTTTCAAGATGAATCGGTCATCTAAACAAAACAAAACAAAAACACGAAAAGGGCATGCTTCCAAAAAGAAAAAGATAGAGTTTATCAAAAGCTTTGAAGCAACAGCATCTGAAATCACCTCACAGTTGGTGAAATCACACAGTTCAAGTCCAAGTTTCCGTTCTAGGCATTAGACAGTTAGGACAGAGTCAGCCCAAAATGTGTTCAAGTTTCATAACCCACTGGTATGGAACAAAAAAGGCAAGGCCAATGTTGATGCAAACTCAGAAGCTTGCCAGTTACCTTCAGTCACATAAAAAGCAGCTCCTGATTTGCCTCCTCGTGCCTGCCAAGGGAGGGAGTGGGAGAGGGAACGAATAAAATCTTCCTCGCTGCTCCCAAGTATCACCTCACGCATTTTATGGAACTCCCCTGCATAGTAAATCCGGCAGTAGAATTTGGCATTGGCATCAGAAAATTCTGCAGTAAAACAGAAATAGTTATTGCTAACAATTTTTAAAATGGCATAATGAATAAAACTGAGTCAGACCATTGGTCCATCTACTTCAATACTGTCTGCTCGGCACCAACTGCTAAGGGTTCCCTGGGGTTTGAGATAGGGATCTTTCTCAGGACTACCTGAAGCAACTAGGAACTGAATCAAGCACCTTTTGCATGCATATCATTTGCACTCCCATCACAACTCTCTGCAGCAATACCCTTGTAGGAGAAAAAAACTTGATGGCTACACAGTCACTATATCTTAGTAATTGAACAAATACTAGCTGGTTGCTGTAGGGATACTTAAGGTGGCATCAGCTAACAGAATCACCAAAATGTACATATTGGCCAACAATGGGGACATGAAAGAACCTGAAACAAAAGAAGGCTCTCTCTTTTATAAGTCCCAGTACAAAATGCATGTATGAGGTATACACCGTATAGAATTTTTCACTTTCCCTTTTCCCCTTTAAACTCTTAGTCTTTACTCCTTTTGGCTTTTCAGAGGACATTCTGAAGAGTAATCACTCTTACATTTACGTAGCATTTTAAAGCATCCAAAGCACATCTAGTATACACAACCACAATAAACAACCCACCATTCATATTGCTATTCCTCAGTTACAGATGACAAAGGAAGCTAGTTCTGAGAATTCATGGCTTACTACCATCATCTAGTGAACCCATATTCATAGACCACACAAGGCTTTAACTGTGGACCTCTCAGTCTAAAATCTTAACCATAGTCTTTGCTATATTGGAATCCAGTGACACCTGTAGTGTCTGTGTGGACCACAACAAATTATGGCAAGTTCTTAAAGAAATGGGAGTGCCTGACCACCTTATCTATCTCCTGAGAAATCTATATGTGGGACAGGAAGCAACAGTTAGAACTGGATATGGAACAACTGATTGGTTCAAAATTGGGAAAGGAGTACGACAAGGCTGTATATTGTCACCCTGCTAATTTAACTTATATGCAGAATACATCATGCAAAAGGCAGGACTGGATGAATCCCAAGCTGGAATTAAGATTGCAGGAAGAAATATCAACAACCTCAGATATGCAGATGATACCACTCTGATGGCAGAAAGTGAGGAGGAATTAAAAGAACTTCTTAATGAGGGTGAAAGAGGAGAACGCAAAAATGGTCTGAAGCTCAACATCAAAAAAACTAAGATCATGGCCACTGGTCCCATCACCTCCTTGCAAACAGAAGGGGAAGATATGGAGGCAGTGACAGATTTTGCTTTCATGATCACTGCAGATGGTGACAGCAGCCATGAAATTAAAAGACACCTGCTTCTTGGGAGGAAAGCAATGACAAACCTAGACAGCATCTTAAAAAGGAGAAACATCATCTTGCTGACAGAGGTTTGCATAGTCAAAGCTATGGTTTTTCCAGTAGCGAAGTATGGAAGGGAGAGCTGGACCATAAAGAAAGCAGACCGCCGAAGAATTGATGCTTTTGAATTGTGGTGCTGGAGGAGACTCTTGAGAGTCCCCTGGACTGCAAAGAGAACAAACCTATCCATTTTGAAGGAAATCAATCCTGAGTGCTCACTGGAAGGACAGATCCTGAAGCTGAGGCTCCAATACTTTGGCTATCTTATGAGAAGAGAAGACTCCCTGGAAAAGGCCCTGATGTTGGGAAAGTGTGAAGGCAAGAGGACAAGGGGACGACAGAGAATCAGATGGTTGGACATTATCACCGAAGCCGCCCGGAGTGGTATGATATACCAGATGGGCGGGATATAAATCAAATAAATAAATCAAATAAATAAATAAAACATGAATTTGACCCAACTCCGGGAGGCAGTGGAAGACAGGAGGACCTGGCGTGCTCTGGTCCATGGTGTCATGAAGAGTCGGACACAACTTAACAACTAAACAACAAACAATCCAGTGTGAGGTTTGGCAGGCTGGGCAGATATCACACAGTTACCACCAAGCACAACAGAGAAATACATATTTTGCTTGGATACTAGCCTGGATGTGATAAGACCTGAGCAAAGCTGGTGCCACACTTTGTCTGAAGAAATACATATTTTGCTTGGATACTGGCCTGGATGTGATAATAAGATCTGAGCAAAGCTGGTGCCACACTTTGTCTGCAGTATGTTTCACCTTTTGGAAACATGTGCACTGGTGCAAGAAAGGCAAACAACATCTCACATGCCTATGAGTGCTTTGCAAGGAGAAACAGGAACTGTGCTCTGCCCAAATCATGTTTTTAAAAACAATCCATTCAACCTCTTTAAACATCATTTCCATGCAATTTGCTCAAGGTCAGGCTTCTGCACCTGTAGTGTCAATCAATATACCATTTTGCAGAGGGCAGTTCAGTTCAACCACAGTCTTTGCTATATTGTAATCCAGTGGACTTGCCTCTCACATCCCACTCCTGCAATGTGAGGTGATGCACTTGGTTCATACTTACGGAGTTCAACATGTGGATTTCCTAGCTGCTTTTTCTGTGCATCACTTCCATCTGCTTCATCTGAAATGGGAGAGAGAAGACTGAACCAGGTTAGGTGAAAGGACCCAGATTTTTTTCAGTCAAATGGTTTGTGCAAAGAATTGTAGCACAAACAGTTTGTCATTGACATCGCTTGAGCAGGGAGGTATCCAGTACCTTGTTCTGCAGTTGTAAGCTAAACATTCCCAATGGGAAGCACTGCTTGTTCTGGGAAAGTATCTGAGCAAGTGGCATGATTCCACATTACTCCACAGGCTGGACTTTCTGCTCATCGAAGTCTCAGTAAATCCTGGACAGTGAAAGCTGCTTGCTATTTTTCATCACCACCCACAACAAAAACCTTCTCGGTTTTCCCAGTTAAGTGCAGCAAGTGCCAAACAGAAAAGTACTGAAGAAAAATCAAGCACTGAAACAATTTGATCACTGCTGCAACTTATTATGTACAAATTTACCGGGAGGGATGCGATACACACTCACACACGACTAGAACAGAAGCACACATAACTAAGTAGCGCATAGACCAATTCTTAATCTACCAACATACTCAAGCACAAATAAAAGTTTTAAATCATCTATCTTTTAAATTCTACTGTAACGAAATGGCTTTTGCCAGATGCAGGTTTCTGCAAGGCTTGGGAGAATCTGAATCCTTAGAGTTTGGATCAGAACTTTCAGATGAGCCACAGGGAACTTTTTACCTTGGAAAGAGCTGAAGCAGCCTGACTGGCAGGGAAAAATATTGCCATTCAGAAGGGATAGTATTAGATTATACACTCCTGTGATTCAGTAATGTAAAGCTGCTTCAGAGGGCAGATATTTCAGAAGTTAAGATGCTATGTATGCCACGTTGTTACATGTAGCAGAAAGTGTTCCCTCAGAAGGAGATGCATCATTAAAAATGTCTGGGGCTTCTGAGTTCCTCACTTAATGATACAGTATGTGTAGTGTACCACCTCCTCTCTATCATTTGCTACAACTCATCAACAAGAAGCAGAAGAAATGAATCAAGAATGGTCAAGGCCCATGACATGTTAGACATTCAAGGCATGACTCAACTCCCCTGTTTTTCTTTCCAAGGACACTTCAGGCCTGCCACTTCAGCGTGCTAACCCCTCTGCCATTGAGTTTGGGGTGCAGCAGGAGGACAAGGCAGTGCCAGTTGTCCTTGTCCTGCCCCATGCAATTATCCAGAAATGCCCTGCATTCCCATTTTAGAGAATCTTTGTTATTTTTACAATGACAGTAAGGCACCCATTTTCCATCAATTTTGGAAGAGGTGACAATAATACAGAAGAGCACAAGAGACAAAGAGAACATTTATTATTAGTGTGGTTTGCAAATAGTAAGGAAAGAAATGAGGATCTGATTGCCAGAAGCCGTTGTCAATCAACTTGCTTAGCATGAACCAGAATGTAACAATCTCACAATTATTTGCCATTCTAGAAGCAAGAAGCATACAGCTTACCCACAAAAATACCTTTTTATGCTTATATATCTTACAGGAGATTTTGCTTACAGATGTCAATCATTTCCATATATTTCTTCTACTACGCACTACACTACCCTGGGCTCTTGGTGGACATGGAGAATTGTTTAAAGCCTCGTACCTTGATTCTCTGCTCCTTGATTTTCTGCCCCTTCCTTGCCCGTCTGCCCAACCTGGTAGTAGGCACTGTCTGCACCACGTAAGGTCTCCTTTTTTTGAGAAGAAAGGTCAGGGCTCCTGCCTCCCGTGCCACGAAAGAAGGACAAAACTCCATATGGTTTCTTTGCTAAAGCCAAAGAAGAACAATACCGAAACTCATTCGTCATTCTTCCATGAGCCATGCCCTACAGCAAACAACTCCAGTCTATCTCTACTGAAGAAAATTCAGGTATTTATTCTCAGGTCCAGCCCCACCATTAGACAGACTGTGATGGTCACCTCAGGCAGTGGTTGAATTTTATACATTGAATGTCCGGTTGAATTTTATACATGGAAGGAGAAGGGACACCATTTTGGTCTTTGTTTCATTGTGGGACTAGTCGTGGCTGTTCTACATACTAGCAGAAGTTACATAAAAATATTATCGCCGCACATCAGCCTTCTTTGAAAATAAATATGTGTAATAAGTTAAGCTTATTATAGCTATTGGACCCACAGCACAGCTAGAGTACCCATGGCACAAAGGTACCCATCAATACTAGTTCCAGAGTATGGAGTATTGGTGGTGGTGGTGGTGGTTACCCAAAATACCACTGGGCTACTAAGACTCTTGTTAAATACACTAGATCCTATCTAAAATCTTCCTATAGCCCCTCCCTGCATCACCCCAACCCTGGAAGAAAGAGAGAGCAGAGATCCCTAGAACCACTTGATACCATGGAGGCAGAATGAGCAGCACGTCAAGGTCTGGCCAAGATCCACCCTATTGTGAACAGAGAATCGGGCAATTGCCTAGATCTAGAAGAGAATCTCCCTTCAAACTCTCCACACTATTTTAAGACCCTCCCTTCCCACCAAAGGAAACTGCATCTTCAAATGGCACTGGAGAATAATATCAGCCACTGCTTTGCTTAGAAAGGAACTAACAGTTGAAGTATTCATACCAAAAGATGTACAGTATTATTATGGCACCTTGGGGGGGGGGCAGAATTCACTGTTGTGTCAAGGAAGAACATTCTCTTCTTGAAAGAAAGTAGCAAAAGATGGATTTGAGAGAACAATACTACAATTTGTAAACATTAAAAGACTGGTATGGAAGAATATTTTTAAAAAGTTAGGCAAGCTAGTACAGAATATACTGAGGTTTCAGTTTCAAGGTTTTGTTTTCCTTCCTTGAGCCAACTGCTATCAACTCTTGCTGTGACATGCTTTGCATCTAAAAATAAAAATAACAGATCACAAACTCAAAATGACACAAACTGTAAACAAATAAAAATAACAGATCACAAACTCAAAATGACACAAACTGTAAACATTCTTACGTTGTTCTGCCTCTGCTGTTTGGTTTGATTGTCCCACATTGGCTTCAGGTAGTCGGACGGGACTGCTGTTTTTTGCTCTACTCTCTGCCAGACTAGAAATCAGAGAACATTTTTGGCTACTGAGATTTCAGAACTCCATCACTGTAAATACAATTGCACCAGAACACTCTTTCTGTAATGGCCGACATCATGGCTTCACCAATCTCGGTTCTGCAAACCATAGCACAGACCAGGCAACATTTCCTCTAAAATGGAAGCGCTTTGAGGTTTCATCTAGTCTAAGCATTCAGTTTCTAAAATGGCCAGCCATTTACTTCTGTAAAGCCAATGAGGAGATGGCAGAGACAAAAGCCCTCGTGCACTTGCCCTTTGGGTATATTGTCAGAGGGTATATTGCCTCTGAAAATGGAGATTTGGACAGGCTGTCATGATTTACTTCCAAGCTTGATGCAGAAGTCCTTAGAGAGCCACAGAGGACTGGATACCAAAAGCAAAAGGAACAGATATGCAGAGCACTGAGTTTTCGCAGGGCAACATTGCAAATAATATTCTACTTTATGCCATGCCACATGAAGCCAAGAGGAAATGTTAGCAAGAATCTAGACTCTTGGCACAAAATGAAAGCTTTAAGTAAGTTCATATCAAATACAGGTTCTTAAAGGAACCTCATTGCTCATTGGCTGTAAAATATGCACAGAAAGGCACTGAGTTGCAAAGAAGCTAACCATGCTGCCTGGAGACTTTGTGGGAGTGACCAAAATATTAAGTTGTCACTATTTCTGAAAGGTGCAACACTACCTGGGTTGTTGATCAGCAGTAGTCAAACACATTAAAAATAGATTATCAGATCATCACCTGTTGGTTTGAAGTCCTTCTTCAGCACTGGTCTTCACAGTTGCTTTGGATAATTCATCTAAGGCATTTCTGTATTCTTTGCAACTAAAGAGTGAAGGAAATGGACATTTTACATAAATGCCTGAAAATACCTCAGCTTGAAGTTCAAGGTTAGGCACACTACAGTGGTGCCCCGCATAGCGACGTTAATCCGTTCCAGGATTAACGTCGCTATACGAAAACATCGCTAAATGGAAAGAAAACCCCCATAGGAACGAATTAAACCCTGTTTAATTCGTTCCTATGGGGCAAAAACTCACCGTTCAGCAAGGATCCTCCATAGGGGCGGCCATTTTCCCCATCTCGGTAAGCGAGGAATCCGTCCAAAAAACAGGGGGTGCCATTTTGGAACCGCCGATCAGCTGGCATTCCCCCCCCCAGGAAAAGGAGGAAGAGGAGGAGGTGAAGTGGGAGATGGGGAGTCAGGCACCCGGCCCTTTCCCTTCCCCTGCCGCCGCCGCCCTGGGAGGAACAAGCCGGCCGGGTGCCGGCTTGAAGAAGAAGAGGAGGAGGTGAAGGGGGAGACGGGGAGTCAGGCGCCCGGCCGGCTTGTGGCTTGTTCCTTCCCGGGGCCGTGAAGGGGGAAGAAGGACTGGGGGAATAAGGGCCTATGGGGGAAAATCGCAAAGCAATTTTTCCCCATAGGCAACATCGCAATGCGATCGCTTTTGCGATCGCAAAATCCGCATCGGTATGCGGATTTGTCGTTAAACGGGGTGCCCGTTAAGCGAGGCACCACTGTATAGGGAGATGGAGTTTAAATGTTGAGGAGAGAAATCTTTGTCTGAGCAGTCCCACTTCAGAATGAAGTGGATTTAAGGGATCAAATGCTCCTCTGTAGAAAATTAGAACCTCTAAAACTGCCATGTCCGGGAGAAAAGGACGTGAGGCAATTACTGGTCATGTAACTTTTCAATACAGAGGTAAGAGAAACACATTTTATCCTGGGAATTTCCTTCTAAAATGGTACAGCCCAGAGACAAATAGGGAAGCAAACACATAGAGCAGAAGAAACAAGAGTAAAACACAAAACAATCCAGAAACAGTACATGAGAAGAACCCATTGAGAAGGTACAAAGTCACATTCTGAAGGGGACATAGACATCTATTTTAAGTTCAGACACATTCACACTTAAATTGCTGGCTGAAATCCTGCAGCATACAGTGGGGTCTCGACTTACGAACGGCTCGACATACGAACGTTTCGACTTACGAACCGCTCTCATAGGAATATATGGACTCGACTTACGAACTTAGAGTCGAGTTACGTAGTCTTTTTTTCCCTTTTTTTAAAAGCTAAGTCTTCTTAGGTTAAAAGGAAAAAAGAAAAAAAAAATCCCCCTCTAGTGGCAGAAGGCGGAAAAGCCGCTTTCCATTAGTTTCTTTGGACGGAAAAGAGCAGATTTGGAATAAACGGTTTTCAATGCATTCCTATGGGAAACGCAGATTCGACCTATGAACTT